AACTCCAATCATCCTACGAAATGCTTGTACATGAAGTCCTTATATATTTAGAATTTAAAATTGTTTATTTTTTCTTCATGTTCTTTATATCAAAGAATAAAATATAAATTGTTCTCTCCTGTGTATGTCATCTTTTCTTTTCTGAATTCCAAATATATTTAATAATATTCAGCAACAATTTTTTTCAATATTGTTAATAAGATAAAATTTCAGTTCCCGTGTAATATTATATTTAACACACGATCTTGTTCATAGCGTTATCTAATTGAACTGAAAGAAATAATTAGAGAATGATTGTTGTTGATATTCTTTTTTTTTATTAGTAGCAAATGATTTCGCATTTAAAAAATATAAACTATTATTTGAACGACACAGATATATGCATACAGCGTATTGCTGCACCTTTAATGCTTGAATATGAATGTATCCATCTGTTCTTTCATTTCTAGAAAAATACAAGTCTGTTACATGAAAGGTGTGCGCGCGCATGCTAGGAAATAAAACCGACAATCTTGAAATTGTGAATATTTATATTTATAGTAAGTCGGTCGTACACAAAATGGTAAAAGCTTTTGGTTTCAAGCCTTTCTCACCTAAACATAATATACAAATAAGCATTATATGGTGCGATTATCCACGTAAGAAAGCGTTTGACGTCCGAAAAAGGATTATCAAGATTTAAAAGCTAACACTCATACTCACACCATTCAACATGGTAACAAATTGCAGCCTCATAACAAACAATACGTCCTAGTTCTTGTTCGTGCAACAATGCAAAAGTGTTTCATATTTCATATGAAGATCCGTTAGCAAAATTTGCATGTTTATGCAAATGTTCATTGTATAAATTAGTAAAACGATGTTTCTTTGTTTATATGCCATAGATATAATTGTAGATAGTTTACATGTGTATGAAAGAGCACTCGTATCTTTACAAATTTATCAATATTTATGTACGTATAATATTAAACAAAATTTTCGAATATTGAGTTCAATAATGATCGTTATTTTTTTCTTAACGATGTTTATCTCAATAGTAATATAGAAAAATGAATTTGTATTGGAGCAAAAATGAGACTGTTTGTATTTGATCAGGCAGTGTTGTGAAGTGTTTATGTTATTATGCTTTAAATTATGCTCTAGATCTATTAAGGAATCTATTTCGAGTGGCACGAGCTGATATATAGTTCGTTATGCACCATTAAAATAAATAATGTATAAAATTAGCAACACCGATTCGAACTTCTTTCTACCCTTCGATCAACCGTCACTCTGTCAGGCGCGTCTTGTGGTTCCTTGCCATGCGTTTTGTCCAATATTGCTTCCGCTAGTTCGCTGAACGCACGATCGATATTAATATTTGCTTTTGCAGACGTCTCCATAAATCTAATACCATGTTCTCTTGCTATCTGTAAATAAATAAATAGCACATTTTTACGTATTTTGAGCAAAAAATTATTTATTTTGTCGTCTAATCTTATAATATATCAAAAAATGCATCTATAATAGTTACCCAAACAATAAATATCTAAAAGACTGTAAAAACATCTCTTCCTAATTTGTTCAGTCAATTTTAAAGAACATGTGTCTTGCCTTACTAAACACTTACCGCCTCTCCTTTTTCGGTACTGACAACACGTTTCTCTTCCATATCACTTTTATTTCCTAATATCATCTTTTCTACATCTTCATTTGCATGCTATAAAAAATATGTATATTAATTATTATCACATCACATGCAATATATATAAATTTACAAATTACATAAATTCAAATTCACTCACTTCATCAATATTTCTTAACCATTTGACAATATTTTCAAATGTCTTTTCATTGGTGATATCATAAACAAGCATGATTCCCATCGCTCCTCTATAATACGATGTGGTAATAGTGTGAAATCTTTCTTGTCCAGCAGTATCCCTATAAATACATAAATATTTTTAAATATATAGCATGTATGTAAAACAAGGTCAAAAAATAAAGAGACAATTTTAATCAATTCAGAAATTAAAAAAATGTTCTTTCACTTTTTGACTGCCTCTGGTATTTACATGCAAACTCACCATATCTGTAATTTGATTTTCTTTCCTCTTAATTCCACTGTCTTGATTTTAAAATCAATACCTAGAAGAAAAACCACCTTTTATCTTTATGTCTCATTAACAAAGAAAGCAAGAAAGAAAAAGTAAAACATGTTCTCAGACTAGAATTTTAATAAATTTAGCATATTGTGATAATAAAGATATAATATTAATTAAAAATTATAGATGTATCAGACTCTGGTGATTATCAAAATCAAATAATATTAGAAAGGAGCGTAAAGAGCCACAAAGCAGGTTATTCGTGCAAAGGTTAGTGTATTAGTTTTTACCATTATTACATTTGCATTAAACAAACATTTCTGCCTATCATCAGGCCTTCTTCAGTGTATTATACAAAACAAATGAATCGCAATGCATTGCTTAAATAAACAGTATAATAAAGAGAAAATTTTTCCAATCCATTTTTAACCAAAGTGTTGTTCAAAATCTAACGACGTTAGGATTGTAATGAAACACATGTAGAACATGATGTACTGAAGGCCTGATGGCAGACAGAAACGTTTGTTTAATGTAAATGTAATAATGGTAAAAACTAATACACTAACCTTCGCACGAATAACCTGCTTTGTGGCTCTTTACGCTCCTTTCTAATATTATTTAATATTAATTAATATTACATATCTTTATTGTTAAAATATATTTAAAATTTTCATGTAACTCACTTTTTATGCACATAGAGAAAATACAATTCAAATATTGCTCATAATACAAAAAATTGCTTATAAAATTTTTTCTACAGATGTATGTCTTAAAAAAGCAACCGGTATACAATTTGTAAAGCCTCGCAAAAACGAAGTATGATCATTTCTTTTTGCGAAAAAACACGCTCTTAATTGCATCCTGATGACGTGCACACACACGCAGGCCTGTGTCCATGACCTTTTAACGCGAAAACGAGGCAGCGTATTGAATCTGACAAGATGTGACGACTATCACTTTTTTCAGCTGTAACGTTTCAGAAATTCTAATCATCAAGAAGAAAAAGCAATCTAAACTTGCCACCGTCAATGAAGAAGTCAACAGATCGTGTTTTTCAGATGTCTTTCCGGTTCTCACTTTTATTCTTTTTCTTTCTCTTTCCTCTTCCCCCCCCCCCCTCTCTCTCTCTCTCTCTTACACTCTCTCACCTATCGTAGAAATAAATGTGGTAGAGAAAGCATCGTCCGAGAAGCGGAACAATATGCAGGTCTTGCCAACGCCGGAGTCGCCGATGAGCAGCAGCTTGAACAGCAAATCATACGTCTTCTTCGCCATTTCGTCGCCGAGGCTATTCCGCGTCAAGGAGTAGACGCCGCCGTCGAAGAGGAAATAGACAGGGCGAAGAGACGATCGGCTTGTGATGGGCTTGCGACGGTCGGCTTGTTGCGATCAGCAGCGACAATTTTCCGTGATGCGCTGATGCTCCGTACATCGAACGTTATGCACCGGTTATAGTCGCTCAAGGTCGAACGAGGGCGCGTCTCCCGATGAGCTGCGACGTACGTATCGTATCGTATCGTATCGTATCGTCCAGGCGATCCGGTTGTGTAGAGAGAGGCGGACTATTAAAAGACGGCGCGACGTCACGCGACGGCGGAATCAGCACGACACGGCAGGAGCCATCGGGGGTAGAGTCGAGGTAGCTTTTGGACTCCGCTCCTTCTCTATGTGTGTCGTATGCTACTTCGTGCTCGGCTGGTCGTCGACGGTGAGATCGAGCGGCGGCCCGTATTACCGGCTGAATGAGTGCGCGATTCACCGCGACGCGATATGGCGCGATGCAAAGCGCGGCACGGTGCCGCGCCGCGCTACATCGTGCGGCGATATCCTTCCGACAGGATCTCGTTATCGCGGGATCGCACATACAACATCTCTGTCGATCGATGTGTAATGCTTGTAAAGATTCTCCTTCTAGAAACGTTTGAAAACTTTTTGGAAAGAGATATTTGAATATCTTTTAACACAATTGAGACTGATGGCTGATAAAATATGAAACGATTATTATATACTGAACAGAGAATAGAAAATGCGTTTTTGTTCGATTATCTATTACTTGTGTAAATTTAAATTACAACTGGCTGAGTTTCCTAATGCTTCGCGTAAAAGAATATAGTGAAACAAAAGTTTTCATTATACTTTTTTATCGTGAATTCTAGATTCGCCTGAGTATTCTAATTTATTTCGCGTATTTTCACTCATATTGATTTCTTGTGCGGATCTTGAAGTAAATAAAGAAATAAAAGGGTAATTGTAGCACCTCGTTTTCCTTGAGCAAATAAGATCGGATAATGTGTATGCATTACAGATTTATGCCTACATGAATTATAATATTCATCCTCGAATTTCTAATATATATATCAAATTACTTCCTAAAATATACTATATATTTACATTATCAGATGAAAGAAGGCACATTTTATTACTTCAATTATAAATATTATTTATAATTTTCAATCTACAGAATATGATGTCGATTATTCAATTTCCATATTATTTTATCAATCTCTTACACAGGCGAAGCAATCGATATGGATTGTAGAGATGCAAAATTAATATATATAATTTTTTTCCCCTTCTTTGGAAAAGGACTTACGAAGCTACGACGTTTTAGGCATGCCTGTATTAGCTTTTCGCTCTTTAATAAACATACATACCAAAGATAACTAACTTGATCCGCGTAGGCGGGAGGCCCCATTATCTATAGTATCACTTCTCTATAATGGTATATTATTTTCGCACGTGTGCAGTATATGTAAGCGGTGGAAAAGGCAAAAGAATAATTTTGAAAGAAACAAAAAACTCTCAGCTAAAAAGAGAAATGATATGCGAGATGTAAGAAAAATGACACATTACATTTTGATATCCGCGATCAAAATAAAATTTGTTTGAAATTCACAATTCAAACGTGTTCAAGAATTACACGAAACTTGGCAATAAGATTTTAATTTGATCAGGAATATCGGAAAATATAATCTACATATATGTATAAATTGAAGATAAAAAAAGAGAAGAATTCTAAAAATTTTTGCAGCAATGAAATAAATTGAATGGTTTGATAAGTTGAACGATTAGCAGGTCTCGTAAATGTTTAATATAATAAGTTAATACACATTCTCGATAAATGGTAATGTATTTAAACAGGAGAGTCTCTGAAAAGAGTAAATAAAAGGGATGGGTAAAACGTATTCTAAGATTCGTGTGCCACCTTGTCATGCGTATATTTGAAACGCATAGTAAAAAGGCATATACATATGTGTGAAACCTTTCTACAATTGTTTGTCATTCTCAAATACAAACTGATGCGAATAGAGAGAAGCAGTAGATTCCTATACGTCGTATAATTTTCGAATTAGAACTTCGTCGTGTGATTTCTTTCCGACTTGTTCGAGAAGCAATGATTTTTTTCAAGAAGGCTGCTGAGGACTCGTATTACGCAACTGTATTTTATACAGCATATACATTACAGCGTATGAACAAATCACTTGTTTAGACATAAATCTAACGTAATTGAACTATTTATGATACATCGAGTGCATTTTTTTTCTGCGCTCGATATCTGATCAACTAATTGTAAGTGAAAAGTATAATATATTTTACAAAAGTGAAGTAGCAACTTTTAAGATATCGAATGAATAATGATTACACAATCTTCCTAATTCTAATCGAGGGTAAGCAAATGTTTTTCGTAGCGTTTGTATATGTGTGACTGTATTGAAACAAAATACCAGAATGCATGAAATTAATATTTCTTTTTGTCTAACTAGCGCCGATACATCGACTTGTGTTTCCTTAATACTTTGCGGACCACCAATGCGCCTACGTTCAGGTTTTACGAAACGCAAGCGGGCTCTCCTCAAAGTGTTACAGGATTTCGTTTCCAATACCTCGGTAAATTGTTACATCATTTCGCTTATCTATCGTGAATATTAATTATATGGCATTACAGTTTACGCGCATGAAAGTTGTTTTTCTTGCAGCATGTGCAACACCAGATGCGTTCAATTTGTTTCTTCTCTTTCTGTTCAGCTCTTGAAAAACTATATGTGTGTATATATAATGGAATCTACCACTGTATCTCATAATACTGAATGTCACATGAACAAGGCGCACTTATGCAAGCGCGCGATCAGTATCAGGCAAAAAAGACCCAACTAGAGTTTCCAAGAATCAATAAATAAATTTTCAGGAAGTATATCTTTCGATCAATCTTCGAGTCAATTAACTTTTAATTAACTGCATACAATTCGCGGATGTGTAATTTCGACAAATGAATCGAGTCGCGAACGATCATTACAAATTTTCAATATACCGAGCATCGGGCATTATCAAGTTAATATGCGGATTTAATGAACAATAATACAATTTACTAGTCGCTTGTATTTGTTGTTCAATAAATCGTATGCGATATAAATGAATAGAAAACAGTTTGGTTGAGAAAGTCGGTACAAAGCTCCGCTCGTTACGCTGCCAACGAAAAGGCGTTGTTCTGCACATTTTGTGTCTACTAGCGTACAAAGTACACGAAACTATTTTATTCTGGAAGTAAAACTCGATGAATATTCAGAGTTCGTACCGTTTCTCAATGTTTCTCTTCATCCATTATTGAATTTTTTCCACTCTAGTATTCTTACTTGTTTTCGGCAGCAATGCAAAATTCACCGTTGTTTCAAGATTATTTCTTAGCAAAATTAAAACAATTATACAATAGTCTCGACACAACGGAACAAATTTTGAATTATTACCTTCTTGTCTTGTTTTTTTTTTCTCTTTAGATTTATCAAAATTTCCGATACAACGTATCGTCACTGTCCATTTACGAAACGATAGATGTACGGAAATTTCTATTCCCTTCGCTTCTCAACCAGACAAAATTCGCGATTCAGGATTTTCCTTTAATGAGAATAAAATAATTTTGTAATGGTTTTGACGCAATGGGACAAATCTTAAATTATTACCTCCTTCCTTTTCTTTCTAAATTTACCGAAATTTCCGATACTATCTATCATTACCTCCGAACGATAGATGTATAGAAATTTCTGTTTTTCCTTCATTTCTCAATATTTTACGATTTTACATGAATGTGCAAGCCCAAAATGCTTCTGGCCCCGTAGAAAAGCAAATTGGGACTTTTTGGACAATGTATATCGCATTACCTATTTTACCAATTTAAATATTAGCTAATATTTAATCTTTCACACACAAACGGTTCAATCAACATGTGTGTCTCTGACGCACGTAACCAGAATTCGCTTTGAAAAGGATGTTACTTTAATCAACGATTATGCGATTTAAGAGAAATCAAAGCTTTTAACTTATTTTTGTTCAATATATGGAACAAAAGAAATGCAATACAATATAATCGATTTCAGAGATAGTCGAGAGCAAACAAATACAAAAAAAAAAAAAAATAAAAACTATTACAATTCTTAATTCGTGCATTAGTATTAGGTAATAAGACATAATTCTTTATTCATGATGATTCATGATGATAATGACGACGATGACGATGAGAAAGCCAAGGAATTCAATTGAGAAATTAAGAGATGGTCGCATTTCATCTCCAGGTCGTATAATTTATGTATAGTGTGTTCACATGATCATAGACCAATTTTTATTATCGTGGAGAATGACCATTTTGAATTATCGTGGATAAATGTTTTGCGATTGTGATCCCATCAATGAAAGTGTCACAATAAATATAGCAATTATAGTTGTCACTGCTAGGGTCACAATCACGATCAAGCACCAATAATAATTCTCCGAAATTCAACAATTTCATCGTTAATTTTACATTGTGTCGATAATAGATTTCTGACAGTCATAGATGTTTAAAATTATTCGGCAATCTCCTAGCGCGACTAATCAGAGTTTTCATTCTTTAAGCGAAAGAATTTTCACACGATGAAAAAATTACTAAATACGTATCGCTTATTGGTGCTTGAACGGCGTTTCAATGTAATTAAGACACTGCAAAAGATTAGGAGAATCTTGTATATATGTCGATAATGAACTTGAAGGATTGTATATAAATTGATTAAAATTGATCACCGTCTAATTTTTTATTTAAATAAAGCAAGCGATGAACGCACAAAAGATGAATACATCTAAATCGTAGCACATTTTGTTTAAATATCTCATTAGATATCTCGGAAATTTCTCACAAGATCTTCTTTAAGATAGACAAGTGCAAATTTTTACAATTACAAATACAGCCAAATTATTATGTATAGCAGCATAGATAAAAATTAAATATAAAAAAATTAGAATTTGACAAGATGTATAAAAATTTATATAAAACATTAATATATTTGTCAATATATGGAAATGACAATTGTAATCAATTTTTCATCCATTCTTGTAAAGAAACGATTTATGAGAAAGCTTAATCAACCTTCTTCCGCAGTGTCTTAAAGAAACATTAATATAACTCAACATCATATATGTAATAAGAGTCTTAAGTGCTATTCAGTTACTTATCAATAGCTCCGTCCATAATGTTATTTTTAACCTGAATGCTAATGTGGATTCCATCACCTGACGCACCTTTGTCTTTCTTCACTTGCGCAGCATTCGAGGCATTGTCGAGTCCTAATTTACTGAGAGTACGAAGCGCCCTTAACGCCGCCTGATCGCGGCTCTGAGCTATTGTCGCTCCATTACCGTGACAAACTTGCGGTGGATCTGTGCTTAGCGACACGAGTGATAGATATTCCTTGTTCATAGACACCCCCTGGAATGTCAATAAAATAATAGCTCATTCTAACATCGTGTTTGAACTTTACTTTCTCTTATTTGCTCGATAAAAAAGCAAACTTGACTTTATTTTAATGTAAACTAAATGATTGCTGTAGATTGTACCTTGGGGAAATCGCTGAACTCTACGCTGAAATGAAATAACTGAGATAAATAGTGCAATTGATCCCTGGGCGAAACACCGGCTGTATTCTGTTGTTGTCCGCGCAACTCTTCAGCGACTATTTGTACGCTGGGTCCGTTTCCCAGTTTAGATTCTTGACCTCCGTCAACCAGCAAGAGGCCAGGTACCAACTGGCGACCTATGGTGCCTAACGAAAGACGATGATACAAATTTTTGAAATGAATTTACACCAAATACAGCAGCTACAGTCGATGATTTTCATCTTACCTCCTACCGAATGAGATTGAGTGTCGTTCACTTGTTCGTCCTCGAGAAACGTTACTTTTCTGGGTTTTGATTCCGTGTTCTCGCTCTCGCCCGTCTTTATGGACGGTTTAGCGGGTTGCGGCGACGGCTTGCTGTATCCTAAATGCGCCAAAAGAGCCTCGGCCGCGGCTCTTTTCGCCAATTTCTTGTTAGGTCCGATTCCTTGCGCGGAGTGCTGGCCCATCGTCACCTCCATAACGAATTCTCTGCGTCTCGGCGCGCCCTTCTCGTCTATCAGATTGTAAATCGGCTCTCTCTCCCGTTTGGCCTGCTGAATTTGAACTAATCGAGAAACCGGATTGACTTCCTCCGACGCTTCGCTTTCCGAACGAGGCTCCTGATAAACTTTGATTAAATTACGGGATTTCTTCTTCGTCGCCGGTGGTTTACGCTTCACCCGCATCGATCGATTCTGTATGGTGGCAGGTAATGGAGGAAGACGCTTCAGTTCTTCTAACATTAACTCGGCAGCTCGTTTCTTCGACACCTGAGAAAATAGGCAAGTTACGAGCATTATAAATTGCATACTCACTTTTCTGCGTGGAAGATGAAATGCGAAAGATTACTTTTTTCGAAGATCCTTCTCCCATAGTGACCTTGTCGCCGACGGTGCATCTCGTCATGAAGGTTCTTATATGAGGTTTACCGCTCTCGGATATCACTTCAAAGCTGACCGGCAATCCGCGCTTCAGAGCAGTCTCGTGAACCAGAGACACCGGACTCTTCAACTCGGCGTTCGGATCGTCGATACCGCTCAGCGCACCGTTCTCGGTAGCATTATTGACACTCGTGACCTCTTCCGGAAGCGGCAACTGACGCAGTTGCTCCAAAGCTCTACTGGCCGCATCATGGCGTGCCGCCTGCCCGGTCAAGCCTCTACCCGTGAACTCACGTTCGCCGACCCTCAAAGTGACGAGATACAGTCCTTGAAGATCCGTGTGAACCCCGCGATTATACGTGAGTCGTGGATTGTACATGCGCGGAAAGTTACCAAAACCGTGCGGCATAAATTGATGCTGCAATGCGGCCGGTGGAGCTTGTCGAAATGAATAAACAGTCGGTTCGCCTCGTTTCATCGCTAGTGCGTTCAATTCGACGGTGGGTGGTAAATGTCCTGTAATCCCCCAAAAAAAAAAAAAAAATTACAATTTGCAAGTATAAAAATGTATTAATATCGGATAATTTCAAATTTTTCTTTGTAATCGAAAAAGATAATGTTATTAATTGTAACATTATTATATATTTAATCGTACGATTACGAGAGTTAAGAAGAACGTTACAAGTTGCTTTACAATTATGTGATTACAGATATTGAGAAGGAGAGTATCTCCTACAAATTTTGATATTTCTCTACAACATTCCGTACATGCAGAATTTGCAATAAGATTACCAGAACCCGTTGGACATTTGCCCAGATGCCCGATTCTCATAGCCTTAGTCGGTTTAGGCGGAGGCTGACGGTACCAAGTCTTTGTTAACGCTTCGGTCGCTGCGCTATGTTGTGCCTTCTTTATGCTGGGACCTTCCGCGACGTATTCCTCTTCGCCGAGTTTCAGCGTCACCGTGAATCTCTTTTTGTGCGCCGGTCCCTGTTCGTTGGTCAGTCTATATTGATGCTGAATTCTATTGAATCTCGCCAACTCGTTCAATAAACACATAGGTGTTTTTTCTTTCATGTTTGCCAAAGCTGGATTAGTCGTGTTGGCATGATTCTGATTTGACGAATTCTCGTCTCTCGACTCTCCGTTGACATCGTTTGTTACCGCTTTTGGTTGTTCCATGTTTGGTTGTTGCGACACGTGTTGCGATTGTTGTTGTTGCGACTGCGATTGCTGTAATTGTTGCTGCTGTTGCTGCGACTGCTGCTGCTGAGTAGGTTGATTCTGCTGATTGTTCGGTTGCTGATGCTGCTGTTGCGGTTGATGCTGATATTGAGGCTGCTGCACGTTCTGAAGAGTCACAGAGACTGTATTTGCTTGATCTTTCATGCTAACGCTAACCATGGTATCTGAAAGAAATTTTTTTTCATTAACCAGTTCAGTGGTAGACCTTTCCGAAAGATTTGTGCCAAAAGTGATAAGAGTCAAAAGTTAAAATGTAGAAAAACGGTGAAACATGGGTTCAAAATTTTCGAAAAAGCAACTTTTCGGAATGGGTGTAAATCCCCCCCTCCCCCCGCGTCCTTGGGGGCGGAGGGGCAGAATAGGGGTGGAAAATGTTAAATGGCACTATGGGTCGAGTGGGGACTCACTTAAAAGGATTCACTTTTCAAGACGAGAACAATGATTTTTGAAAATGTTTACTACGACCTTCCAATAAAAAATGGTGATCGTGTAAACCAAAATGTGGGGGGTCGTTAAAATATTTAATCAGCTAATGATGAAGGTGAAAAAGAATTCTTTATTTTGACATTTGAAAAAAGCCTTTGTGTACCAAGTACTATGCGAATACGTTAGAAATTATTGGTTTATTATTATAATTATTTAAACAATTAATAATCGCCATATTGGATCCGCCATTTTGAATTTTGACATAACATTCGAATTCAGAGCCCAAAAAATCTTACAATATCAAATTTTATGCAAATCTATTGAAAATTATTGGAGTTATTTAAAAATGTACATATATGATACATTACCACTCAACTGGTTAATTTCTGTCAATAATCAAAATCGAGGACTGAAAGTTTTGTCCTGTATCTGAACTTACTACTTGTATTGTGCGCATTCATGCTCATCATCATTGGCTGTCTCGGATTTCCATGTGAGGGACCAGGGTGCTGCATGTGATGCATATGCTGTTGATGTGGGGCCATAGACAATATCTGTTGATGTGGATTGCGATGCGGCAGCAAATGCTGTGGCTGATGTAGCTGGGGCATATTAGTCTGTTGCATAGGCCGCATCGGTCCTGCCATCCTGCAAACCCATCATTTTATTTGATTGTGATACCAGTACAACATAAAATTTTCCTAAGCAAACTTTTTGTTCATAATATTAATTTTTTATATCTTAATATAAACATACAATTATTATATATTGTATCTATAACATGTAGATATTTTATTTTTATGCAAAAAACATTATAATTATGTGGCTTTTATTGAATGTAAAAAAAATTGCAATGGTTCAGCAAAAATTTTTACACTGTACATAAATATTGCAATGACATATCATTAAATCATCAAAAATATTTATTAAATAGTTTCTTAATCAATTTAATCAATTTATGAGAATTTGTGTAAATATTTAAATGTGGAGAAGAATAATATTCTTAAATTGGAGAAACATTTCATTGTGCCTATAGCATTAGTGCTTTTATATTTTGATGATTTTGTAATTGGAAATAAGTTAATATAAAAATTGATTAATTCGGATATTGACCTATTATGATCTCGAAGCTGATTTTGCATTGTGTGATGTTGGTGGCGTAACATCTTACAAACCTATATAGACAATCTGTAAAATAAAAGAAATATATTTAATTTAATCTAAATATGTTTTTTTAAATGACAGATTGCATTGCACATAAGTACATTTTTACAATTGTATAATATATCAAATAATTATAAAATTTTCCACATATCTACATACACTCTCACACACACATACATATAATCTCAAACATATACTATATATATAATACATTTGTCTTCTTTTATTGATGAGCTCTTTTTACAACAATCAGCAGACTATAAACCATTCTTCTGCTAATCTTGCTAATCAATAAAGAACACAATTGAATGCTGTCTTATCATAACAAATAAATAATCAACAATTTACCACAAATTGAATTGCTTATTAATTTTGCTAATCAACACAAGATTGAACTCTCTAATGTATTATGCATTGTAAAGTAATAAGACGCTTTGCTTCAAAATAAAATTTACTCCAAAATTTATTCTTATGTCATTTTCTTCTTTTCTTTTATAATACACAGATGTTTTTTGCATTTTCGAAAAGAGCGAAAGAATTGTACAGCTTGCGTACGCGAATTACAACGGATGTGGATGTCTGTCGGCTTTGCACGATATATAAAAAGATATAACCTTCCTATAGAAAGGGCGAGCCGGTATAACAAGCGGGTTACGAAAGACATGGTGAATTTCGCGACAAGTAGTCGCGATCGCGTACTACTTCATACGCACGTTGCGTGCTCAGTTGCGACGTGTGAACAAGTAACGTTGATTCTATCTATAAATAAAATCAGTTTCCCAACAAAATAGGCTTGATTCGGCGGTGACTGTGATCCGCACGGCCCCGTCGAACGGCGTTCGCGCGGCGCGGCGAGTACTCCTTTTTCACCCTGCAATCTTACCCGGTCACGTTCGTTCTATTTCACGGAAATTTGGTACGCGTCGGACGACACGGTGAAATTTCCAGCGAAACAGATCCGCCACAACGTAAGCGAACACCGCCAGGCCCTCGGCACGGCTACTGGCAAACAGTAAAGAAAAGTACTCTGTAGACTAAAATGCGGCCATTTTAATGTGAGACTAGCGGCAATACGTGACGTCATTGATACATCTTTATGGTGAGTATACAATTGTGGAACAAGAAACAATGATGTTTACATGAGACTAATAATCAGGCTCAGAAACATTCATAGTTATAATTACCTACGTAAAATGTCGTGTAAAAGCCAATGTCCACGATGCTAGAATCGATCCGAGATCTCGGTCCGAGAAACATATAGCCAATAAAATTGCCGTTTTTCTATAAAATATGCAAGTTGATTGGTTATACATTTCTCGGACCGATTTCTAGTATCGTGGACATTGGCCTTAAAGGCCATAACACACAAAATGACATAACTGCATATGCATAGCATAAGACTGTCTCGACCAATGAACATCTAGCATAAAGGCGCCATATTGATTTACATAGCATGCTCATTGGTCGAGACGGTCTTATGCTATGCATATGCAGTTATGTCATTTTATGTGTGATGGCCTTAAGGGCCACTTTTTCCAACGTCTGTTAACTCTAATGGAGGATTCACACTGCGTCCGATATTCGACGTACGACGTCCGATATTAGAGCCAATAATAGAGCTCGTTTTCTAGAAATTCTAGCTAGAGATATTTTATTGTCTAGAAAACAAGCTCTATTATTGAACATCGGACGTCGTACGTCGGACATTGGACGCAGTGTAAATACTCCATAAATATATGTTTACCAATGATTAAAAGATTGTCAACATGAAGAATATAATATTGCAATTGAAGGAAAAAATTTTTCTTATAAGCTATAATATTATATATAATATAATATAATAATATAAAGTGTTAGTATTTTGCAAAATATTTTTTTACAGTAAATTTCTAAACACTTTTTATCAATATAATAGCGTTTTCGAGTAAACGGGGTTTGAACGACCCAA